TGTATTTAGTCTTAAATAAAGGATTCGATTCGAAATTCCATCATATATCACCTGAAGAAGAATGGAGCGTAAAACAATCGAAACGCCATGAATATATATGGCAATAGAGATGTGGACAACAGTCTGAATTAGGTAAATTGTTTTAATACTCTATCTTTACAAGAGTTAATTTAGACCTAAAATGGAGTAGGTTGCCATATCTTTGTTGGAGCCATCCAATCCTCTCCTTCCAGGATTGACAGCGTTCAAAAGCGTATAATCGATATATTATTTTATACGCTACATCGCATATCCTACTGACGCAACGTTGTATTCCTGTCGCTACACTAGACTCTAAGAAATGCATTCACACGTTCCACTAGTTAAAACATTTACAACTAAGACCCGTCATGACATTTACAAAGGGTCAAATCATCGTCATCACTATTAGCTTCGTATTATATTAGTAAGAAGGAAAATTCCTTCCTATTAATATAATACGAAGCTACTCGGACAACTATTTCTTAAACGGTGCTAAATTATGGAACAGACTCCCGAGAGGGTTCTTCCCTGAAGACTACAATATTATCACCTTCATGTCTAGGGCCAAGTGTTACCTGTCGTACGTATCTTCACAATCTGTTCTTTCTTAACCTTCTATAACATCGTAATTTAATAACTCTACACCTTGAGTGGCTTTGGAGACTTTTATTGGACGAACATTTCGTAAAAAACAACAACAAAAAAATCACACAAATGTATACACTTTGATAATATATGTAAAAATGTTTATTTTATGAGAAGATCAGAATAAAATAGAATCAGAATCTTTAAAAGTGTGATGGAGGCAGATGTTAATAAACTAAATGCCGTAATAAATCTTCCTGTGTCTTTTCTATAAATACGTTCATGGTAATTGTTCTGATGAACTTTCCACTATGGTTCCTAGACTTTATGAATTTAAGCGCAGTACTGGATTTAGCGGCAAGGTCTCATCATTTATAATTGGAGTGACTAGATGTAACCGTTAAGTTCTATGCTAACTGTTTCTTCTCTTGCACTTCTCGCCTGTGGAACTCCTCTTGCTTCTCTGTCAACATTGATCTTCAAAAATTGAAATGCAACGTCACTCGTTATCTCCAGTCATTATGATTCCTACTTTTTTTTCTCACCTTAATAATGTCTTTTCTCATATTCTCTCAAACACAGTCGCGCATTGTGTCTTAGTGGTTTCTTTGATCTGCTTTTACTGAAATGATTGAATAAAAGAATCGTTATCTTTTGCTTTCTTAATTCCTCTTTTGTTCTCGCTCCTTAATAGCGTCTCTTTTATTCTTTCACTCTTTACCCACCCCGTGCGTTTTAGTGGCTTTGTTACCTTTTCGTGGAGTGAAATGATTAAAAACATATCAGGGTGAGATCAATCATTCTGTGAAATTGCTTTTTCAGACGAATTTTTTTCCTATCTGAAGATTAATAAAAAAAACCGAAATGGTAGTCTTATAATGAGTATTTACAATGACAATTTCTCGAATGTTTTCTAGTCTAATGGAAAAGAATTAGATACCCACTTACTACAGGAAGAATATATTTGCGTTGATAAAAGCTTCCGTTTAGTCCAGTAAATATGCGTGTCAAATGTTTTATTGAACGAAATATTAAGAAATTCTTCCTAATTATATCTATATAATTCAGAAAAACATGACATTCAGATAAATACAGAAGACGCAAGCTATGCGGATGTTAGACTGGTTTGTTTGTTTGTTTTTATTGTTTATCAACCCTTTGTGGGTTATTTAAAGCCGAAACATATTTTCTTGAATTTTAAGAATAATAAAACAGCAAACTCCTAGCAACCCGTCTGTATATGGATAGAAAATGAATTCAGTAAATATACAAAAGTAGAAAAAGGTGTAAGACAGGATGTGTCTTCTCACCAGACTCATACAACTTATACAGTGAGGCAATTTTGAGAGAATTACAAGTTTTACCTGGAATCACAATCGGGGGCCACAGTTTTAACAACGTAAGATATGCAGATGACACACTGCTGATAGCAGAGACAGAAAGAAAACTACAACAATTCCTACAGAAGTTATTTAAAGAAAGCGAGAAGAAATGGCTAACCATATATTGCAAGAAGATAGAATTCATTGTTGTTTTCCGAAAATGCAAATTGCAAATCGGATATAGCAAAATCAAACAAGTACAAACATTTAAATATCTTAACATTAAGTGTTTTATTGGAGGTTGGAAAGTGTTTTATTAGAGGACGGAAAGTGTGACTGTGAAGATACACTGGCCTAAAGAAAGATGCCTTTCGAAAATAATTTGTTGAAATTTCTAGAGCATATAATGAGGAAAGAGGGAGTGGAAAATTTGATACTCACAGGATAGATTGATGTCAAGAGGGAAAGAGGAAACAACGCATAACCTAACTAGCGAACTTGTGTAAATGGATAGCGATCTGTGTTTAGGAGAGCTAAAAACGTTTAACGAGCGACAAAGAACAGGAAATTGTGACAAGCCATGATCATTAATGTACTGAAGGGACATGGCCCATAGAAGAAGAACAAAAAGAAAAAAAAAATCTTATTTTTTCCAAATGGATTAAAAACTTTTTTAATTGCATTAAAAACTTTTTTTGAAAATTTTTCCAGATACAAGTCATAATATTTTAAATTGTAACTAGTGAGGAGGATAGATGAATTCCAAACGTCGAAAGGGGATTTGTGCGTAAGTGACTGGAATACGAACATTGTTCTTCGAAAGAGACATAACCGTTTAGTTTCGTATTTATTAAACAGTATATTTTTGAGCAGATATGTCTATTTCGAGAGCCAAATAAAAAAAAATGTTTTGAAGCGCACTATTCAACTTGGTCATCGAGACACTTTGCAGCTGAGTCAAATATAATGACGGTTTTCCCAAGGGGAATGCAGGTTTGAATCCTGCCGGAGAGCGCATATTTTTCATTAATAACATTTCTAGAATATTCAGGCCGGTAGGTGAAAATCAATTAATATACTCTTCAATAAAGAAACGGAATGTCTACTCAAAATACAAGTATTCGCTAAAAAATAATATTTAAGTAATAACAATAACGTATGTATGTATGTATGTATATATATATATATATATATATATATATATATATATATATATATATATATATATATATGTGTGTGTGTATGTTTGTGTGTGTGTGCGTGTGCTTGTGTGTGCGTACGTGTTCTTGCGTGTATGTGAAGTGGTGACCCAGCTAACACAACAGTGTATTTTCATACACAATCTTCAGGTGATGATTGATATCAATCAGGTGAAAATTATTAATTTATTATTAATATATAAATTAACGCTCATTTATTTCAAATTAAATCCTTGCATTTTCCTTCATAATGCCCCACAGAGGACGAAACGTGTCGTCTAATGATAAGTTTTCCTTTTCATTTTATTTATATTGGCCTTTTTATGAGTCTATCTATCTATCTATCTATCTATCTATCTATCTATCTATCTATCTATCTATCTAGTGTGTGTGTGTGTGTGTGATAGATAGATAGATAGATAGATAGATAGATAGATAGATAGATAGATATTGATTTAAATTTGATACAACTATTGGGAAAGAGACTAGTTAAATTTTTAGCGCATTTATATATATATAGAGGAAATGTGAACAAAGGAATCAACTCTGTTTGATGATTTTCAGTTATATATATATATATATATATATATATATATATATATATATATATATATATATATATACTACAAATGACTTCACTCATACGATACACGCATATTTGAATTCACCCTAATACCAGCATGTTGCCAATAACCATTCCCGACTATACGTAATTCAAATATTTAGTTCCTGATAATATCTGACGCGTTCGAATGTACTAAAAAATAACTTTGCCGGTTTATCTAAAACTTTACTCCAGATATGCAAGAATTTATTAGATAATTGGAAAATGAAAAAAAAAAAAAACCCAAAATCTCATTTTGTCTGTTAAATTTAAGAAAACCTCTTCAAATACGTTTGTATGTGTGTGCGTGTGCTGATGATGTATGCATGTCTGTCTGTGCTCACAAAAATAAATATAGACATATTGTCATTTGACATTCATTGGGATATATTATCAAATCACATTCGACCACGTCGTAAATTACTTTAATGTTGGAAAAATTACAGCAATAAAAATAAATTTACAGAAATGCTATCCTAAAATAAAAGAAAATAGTAAATTATTTATTTGGTTGTCTTTCGTGAATCAAATTCTTCCACTTCCGCATGATTTAATCGCATATTTGTTTCTGAGTGTTTAGTGCGCCTGCGCAACTTCGAAGAGAAATGTTACAAATAACACGCGATTGTCGACACGTAGCTGATTTATAATCACTGTGTTGAAAAATGTGATTTTATTCAATTGTTTATAGCTAAACAGTATAAAATATAAAAGAAAATAAGTTTATTATTCTTGTTCATTATATTTAGTGTGATTTGTAAATGTTCCAGATTTTCCGCCTAATAGGCACCATTAATGTATAGCAATATTTAATATACAATCATTTAGTTTTTTAATGTTTGATTGTTTATTGAAGCTGGGGATAAGTTTGTTTTGTTTTTTTCATTTCAAGGCGATAATGCCACTACGACGTATTAGGTTACTAGAAGTGTAAGCGAATGAGAAGACTTTAGTGAGCAGAAAGGACAATAAAAGAACAGGTTTCAGGAATACAGAAAATGGCAATTGGCTCTGCATTTAGAGATTCTAGTTGGCAAGGGAGCAAGGAATAGGAAGCAGATTTTCCGAGATTCTTGTTACCATCTAATTTATTCCAACCATTTTTAATTTGTGGTGATATTTTCCAGTTTTCACAGTCATTACGATCATTATAATAGATCAGCATACTTTTCTTTTCTAATATGCTTTTTAGTTGTTTTGAACGTAACTCAATTTATGAACTTATTATTTATTGAAAGTCTATATTACTCTCCCTAGTGTGCCTAGGGTTTACGGCCATATCACATTGAAACATCGGTTCCCGTACGATGACCGAAGTTAAGAAACATCAAGACGTGCCTGTAGCTAGATGGGTGACCGCTCGGGAATACCAGGTGCTGTAAGCTTAAATATGCGGGTGGTGTAAATGATAATCGTTCGAAATTTTTAATTGGAGAGCCGAGTTCTACTTTCATTTCGGTTCGTTATATTCATTTACGCTTAATTACCCTTGGTGTATGTATGAATCCACCTCTTCTCCTCCAACTATAGGTTAATTAGTAAGACTCGTATCCCTAAATTATTATTATCTCCCCCCCAAATTCTCACAATCTAAAAATATTTCATGGCTTCAAATAATCCTCAAAAGGGTTAATAAGCCATAAAATCTAATCAATCAGCTTTCTGTCTAGATGGATGATTTTACGCATTTTTTTAAATTTTGGTGTTCTCGGTGCGTAAATCACATTGTGGGTTTTTCTGCTTGATTACCAAGATCTATTTCGTAGCCTTGCAATTATTAGCCAGTTCTTCCTTCTAGATTTCATAAACTAAGTTGTTTAAAGTTTCTTTCAGTTTTGCTGCTGAATTTGTCATAAACACTGTGTCATCTGCCAATGCTATGCTGTTATGTGTATATAAAAAGAATCTCGTGAGAAAACAGAAAGCAGACAAACTGTTCTTGTAGTAAATGACTCTTAAAAGAAATATTATATTACATTAATTACTTAAACATTATATTTAGTGGATGCCCATGTTTAAGTAGACGCTTCTTTTACTTATTAAATAGTATAATTATTTATTTTCATCTACCGGCTTCAATATTCGAGAAAACTTAGGAAAATGTGTGCTCTCCCGTATATATATTTTTCTAATATGATTTCTCAAATATTCAGGCCGGTAGATGAAAATGAATACACTGTTTAATAAATAAACAGTGCATCTACTCAAATACGAGTATCCACTAAAAATAAAGTTTAAGTAATAAAATATGTGGGATTAATAAATGAGAAATCTAAAATATTATGATGTTCAAGTGGTGTAAAAATGAGCGGCCCGTAGCAAGAAATCGGCGAAACGTGCGATTTCCGGTTGAGTCCGTTGAATTCCCGGGTTTGGTCGGCGTCCATATAAACGGAGTAGACAGTGGCAGTTGGAGAGACGCGGGCAGACGAAGAGAGAGTGACAGAGCAGAGTTGAGATGTGAGCTCGGAGACCAGCCTCGCAGGAAGCGGACTGAAAGATATCCACGCATTCCGACTTAAACTTCTGACCAAAAACAATTTATTTTTGAAGAACTACGTCGTTCTCACACCACCGAAACAAGTTTTACGAATATCATCTGAAGAGACCAGTTGAAAAACAACTTAAGATATTAAGACTCGCCTAACAAACGCAAAGTGTCACGTATCCATAGAAGCGGTTTGGGAGAAAGACGCTGTCCTGTATTCAGTAACCAGATATAAAAATATTTGTTATTCTTTTTTTTAAACACATTTGAACCTTTCGAGTTGTTACTTTATTTTCTTTTACATATACTTGTGCGATATCACCTTTGCTCAATTTCGGCTCGCATTACGGCCCGGCGACTGATTGATTTCGTCTACCTAAGATCAAATCATAACGTGGGTAGGTTAGACTAGAAATCAAAGCAGTTACTTCGGTAACCAGACGTTGGAGGCCAGCTGAGAACGACAAAGGTGATACTGAATCTAACCAGATTCCCATCCGAATCAGCAAAGGGTTAGAACGTCACATTTGGCGCCGCGACCAATACCAAGTCACATTGGTCGTCACAGGGTATGCGGGGGAAGAGAGGCCAGGGTGACGTCACAATATGAACACAAAAGATATATTAAAAAAAAAAATACGTCAAATGATTCGTTTGCCCACCGTAACGAGACTAAACACAATTTTGACATAAAAAAGGCGACTCTGATTAAAGGGAAAACTAATTCACGACAACGTAAATGCCTAGATAGGGCCTTAATCACTAGGTCATCTACAGTAAATTTGCGCCCTGGCTCTTACATTTCACCATTCCTGGCAGATCTTCTAATATTACTGTGTGGAATACCTACTTAAAGAAGTGAAAAGAAAAACAAAAGGATTCTAAATGAATGCGTGTCTGTTTCGGAAGTCTATAGCGAAACAGTCTGTCTGTGGATGACTATATATACATGCTCCTGAAAAAAATTATTTCGGATGAGCTCTCGCGGAGAAAAGTGAATTTATAAACAGTGATTTTTACTGCTGCTGATGCAAGACTCTTCGGTTAGACGAATCGAGTTCTCCGGTCAATGGCGTGTTTATCTAAAATAAATACATATATATATATATATATATATATATATATATATATAAAGGATATTCATATAAATAATTTTATTGATCATATATATATATATATATATATATATATATATAATATATATATATATATATATATATATATATATATATGTAGGAGGAATTAAACAAAAATATAAACAAACGTCGGTAATAATTATGCATCTAGAAAAGTCTGAAGATGTATGGGCGCTTAAGATTAAATTTAAAATTTCTGGCGTCCGATGTTTTACAGCCTAGCTAAACATGTTCAACGTCTTACCGCTTGCCTTTTTTTTATTTTATCGCTGTTGTTTTTTAAAATATTTGTCCCATACATATATATATATATATATATATATATACACACACACACACACACACACACGCACACACATATATATATATATATATATATATATATATATATATATATATATATATTATATATTTCTCAGTGCTGTGTCTCTTCGGGACTTGCTTGACTTTGGCTCTCCACATTTTTTGTCTTTTGTAGCTCTTAGTAATATTTGTCTCTTTTAGTATGTGTCCTAATCCGTCTTCTTCCATCCGTTTACACAAATGCGTTAAGCAGCCTATGCGTTGCATCCTCTTTCTTTCTTGCATCGTTCAATTTTTCCGGTGAGTGTCAAATTTTCCAAGCCATCTTTTGTGTCCTAGAAATTTTAACTGTCTCTTTATGATGTTAATTATACGTGTCCTTTTTGCTTTTATTTTCTCTAAAACTTTGTCGTTGCTCACATGGTCGCTCCATGGTATTCTCAGCATCCTCCTTCAGAACCGTATTTCTGTTGCTTCAAGTCTCCTCTTCACCTTTGATGAGATTGTTCGGTACTTACTGACATACAGGAATGCTGATATTACATAACAGTTCAGTAGTATTTTGTTTGCTTCTAATGAAATGTTTTTTATACTTTGTTTAGCTTTTGGAAAGCACTTTCTCTATTTCAATGTATTTTCTGATTTCTGTGTTGCATCTTCCTAGATATTTAAATTCCTATACTTGCTTCATTTTGCTGCCCCCAGTTTGTAATTCGCATGTTGGGCTATCCATTTGGAAGACAACCATACATTCTGTCATTACATTTGATGTTTATACCTTTCCATCACACTTTCCTTTATTACTTTCTGGGGAGTAGTTGTACTTCCCTTTCTATATCTGTTTTAAACATTGTGTCATCTGCAATACTGAATCCTGCTTGGACATCTAATTATCACCGGATTGCTTCACTGTAAATGTTTAATAAGTCCAGTGAGAAGGCATCCTTACAATGTATACATATCCCACATATATCTAATGTATATATATATATTCCATTACAATCAAAAGTTTTAACATAAGCTATTTCAAAGAGAAGTTAATTTTCATAAAGGTAATCAAATTTCAGTGATAATTAATAACATTTAATAACTGGCTTCTGTTAAATTTTGAAAATTTTGTTTTGTCATGAGGCCGACATACGAAATAAGGATTGATATTGATGAATGTTATTTAAAATATGAGAATCAGATCAGTTACCAAAGAGAACCGATTTGCTGAGAAATTTGTCGGTTACGCGAAGCATTTCAATATTCTTGTTACTTGCACAAGATATTTCTTGTGTTTCTCTGATCCTTTATATATGTTTAAAATGATGCTTTGAATAAAACAAAAATGCTTACTTGCTATACATCCAAATATCATACAAGTCAAAAGTTTTTTTTTCTTATTTCTAGCTTCAATTAACAGTTCAAACAAATTACATGCAAGAAGTGTTTATTGATCAAAATATACCCAATCAGATTCTATTGTCTGTTGTTCTCGTTGTTCCAAAACTTATGTCAGAAGCTTACACCATTTAGCTAATTTAGAAGCAAAAATTCCCTGTACTCATGCAGGGAATTTTCTCACCCCGTTGCGTGGAAAGACGTAAGAAAAAGATATATCACAAACGCTATATTGTTATCATGAGAAAAAAAAGCATGTTTAATATTTGGTCGGAAACAAAGTTCTCGCGGTTTATAAATAAATTTAATGTTCTACGAACCGTGAGAAGTTTTCTTTCTACCCGATAAGAGTGAAAGAAAGAAAGAAAGAAAAAAATAGGCAATAACTCTTTCATTTGTACCCTCTTACTTCTTTAAATGATGACCTTCATTCAGACTTATGATTGCTACTGCAATCATAAAGTTAATAAGCTTAGCTTAAATATTTAATATATTGCGATACGGGAATTTTAAACTGTAATTTATAGTCAGGAAACTACATAAGTGCTTCTTCAATCATTAAATTATGAATTATGATTCATCAGAATTATAAAGGGAAAATCAGGAAATTTTTACGCGTATGTTCGTAAAAGTAAATGCGTTTATCTCAAAAGCTATTGAGAGTAACTTCGAATCCCGTGGAATACTTTAAGAATTATCTTTTTTGTTTGAGTGTCTGTAAGTTCGATCCGTAATTTGTCTATTAGAAATGTGATAGTATTCCAGAGTAAGGTCTGTTCACAAAGTCTGGGGAATGTTAATCAATAAATTGTCTACTAATCAATAGCCAATCAAATTTGAGCTCACACTAGCGTTGCTCATGATTAATCTAATTTTATTTCGGGATCGCTCTGGTATTGAGATGATATGCAAAGACATTCGATTGTTCAGTCTTTATTCGCTTATTTGTCGATGTTTCTGATTAGTTTCAATAGCGAGACATTTATCAGGGTTATCAACAAGTCGACAGGGAATGTAACAAGAATATTCTCGGCTGGTTATTTAAATCGACATCAACACTGTTCACTGAA